AGCTACAGCTAAAAGTGCTACCGCCAGACCCGGAGATCAGCTGAATGGATTCGAAAACAGTAAAACTCAACTGTTTAACTCTAGGGGAGTTGGAAAATTAGCCTATTTTCAAAAAATAGTGGAGTGTTCCTTTAAACCTTGACAAACACATTTCTTCTGTAATAGGCTCTAGTTTTTATCAACTTCGTCTGTCGTCAAAAATCAAACCTTTCCTAAATCATAAAACTCTAGAGATGGCTGTTCATGCTTTTATTACCTAAAATTGGGCAGTACAGACATTTATAATGATTTCAAACGATTTCTATTTCAAACAAATACTGTTCTTCTGAACTTTCTATTCATCAAAGAAACCTGAACAAATTCTACTCAGCTGTTTTCAACATTGATAATAATCAGAAATGTTTCTCGAGCAGCAGATCAGCATATTAGAATGATTTCTGAAGATCATGTGACACTGAAGACTGGAGTAATGATGCTGGAAATACAGCTTTGATCTCAGCATACATTACATTTTAAAATATAGTCACATAGAAAGATTTAGAAAGAAACATTAAAAATCTTGCCGTCCAAAAACGTTTGACTGCTAGTGTAATTATTGTGCTAAATCATCAACGATCATTTTAAGATTCTAGCTGTTACTTTATGACAACAATGCTGTGAAATTTGACAGAAAATGTTAGTAAGCAATATTTTTTTTTTCATACAAAAAAACAGTTAATTTGTATGTTTAAGTCTTGTGACACTCTTTTGAAACCCATTGACTTCCACTGTGAGTACCTCACTGGAGCCCAGAAAACTCTCTTTTGTCAAAACCAACATTCAGCCACAAATGCTGTCAGTTTAGTCCGACTTGTACTGAATCTGCAGCATTCCTCTCAGTGAAGGTCAGTCCTGTCGTGTTGGTGGCTCTTCTGCTGGTCAAACATCCATACAGATGCGGATCGTTTCCTCTAAAGCTGATTGATCTGGCCGTGTATTGTGAAGCCAGTTCGTTTGAGGGAAGCTTATGATTGATTATTGATGCTGTTCCATACGTACAAATGCACAGTTCCTGAATGAAGTACTTTTTAATGCGTGCGTGGGACGTAGTGTCTGTAGATAATGTGTAGATGTATATAAATGTGTATAATGTTAGTCAGGCTGCTGACTGTGTGCCGTGTACAGTTCTGGAAGGAGAAAGTGTTCAGTGCTGTCAGAGGAGGGTTACGGATCGAGCGGATGTCGCTTCTTCAGGAATGAAAATGATCGTTTATTCATTCTCACGCCGTTCCAAACCTGTGAGATGAGTTTGGGGAATGAGATCGGTCGCTCTTTTACACGCAGCTAAAATAAATCCAGATCACCAGTTCACTAGAACTTAAAAAAAATGCAATAAATGTTACCTGACATAAAATATAAAAACTTAAACTTTATTTTCAGCTAGTTTCCAAAGTAATACTCCTCACTTTCATTGACTTTAACTTGATAAAAATAAAGACATTTAAAAACAACAAAAACTAATAATGGAAAAACACACAACTTAAATGACTAAAACCTTAACTAAAATTAAAATGAGAAAATATAAAACATGATATGACACTAACATAACAGTGATCAGGATTGAATCTTTCAAGCTTCAGAAAGAACTAGCCTGCAAGACTGGATATTTTGCAGCACTGGACATCAACAGAAGCACTAGCTTGTGATTTTGTGAAGCTGAATCATCTCTGATTCAGTTGATCCAGTTTCAGCATTCACTGCAGCTGCACAGAAAAGAGCAGCTAGAACATTCATCAAAACGTCTCTTTTTGCATTCTATGGTGAACCGCAGGAGTCGGCGTGGTTTGGAACGACATGAGGATGGCTTTCCGTCTCAGAATCAGCAGCTCGAGCGGATGCGTTCTCAGTAAAGCACACGATGCTCCTCGAGGAGACTTGAATCCATATTTCCAGCAGAAAGCCCTTACATGACCCAGACTCCTCCAGCGCCGGCTTTTCATTAATAATTCAGCTTATGCAGCTTTGCACTGTAATGCACAAACACGTCAGACCGCGTCAGATGGACTGATTAACGAAAGCACGTGGTGACAGGCGTGAATGTTACTAGTGCAGAGTATTTGCATAAATTAGCTGAAGGTGATTTTTAAAGCAGTGGCATGAAACACACGGGTCTTTCACTCATTTATGCAAACGCATCACTCTCTCCATGCTGTTACTAGAGATTAATTACACCGCTATGCTATTATTATACGGACACTGTGAAAACTACGTTTGGAGAATTCTGGGTGGTTTAAGGGCAGCTGACGAGCTTCCCATGATGCATTTCACTGGGACGCTGCGTGCTGCTGATTGGACGGTAGAGGAACGCTTTATCGTTTCATTTGGTGCCTGAGTTTGACTCGGTTTTGTTTTTTAACTCCACTTAGAATGATGCACTGCATGGGGCTTATTTCTAATGTTTGCATCACTTGCTTTTAAAAAAAAAATATATATATATATATATATAGTATGTATAATAAAAAGATTTAATTTCAGTAGGTTTTAAAAGGTCAGAAAGTCGTGAGAAAAATACCTCCTCTGAAGACCAATGTGTTTATACCTCAGTGTATATATTTGAGTTTGTTTTGAAATGCTGAAATGAGATTTGATGTGGGTGTTACTGTATTATTGTCCACACAGTATATTCCTCCTTTAAAGCAGTGTTTGGTTTGTTTCTGTTCTTTTCGTGTTCTGTATGAATTACAAGTGCTTTACTGATGTCTTACTGTGTTTTAATGCCTCCTCAGCTGTATAGAAATGCCTTGTACGGTTTCTTTTACACAAAAAAAAAAATAGAAGAAAAACAAACATAAAGAGTGAAGCTGGTGGCCGATGTGGGCTGCGTGGGTCACTAAAGCCTCATGTCTCGACTCTTTTCTAGCGTGTACAGATGATAGGATCATAGCAGAGTGAAGATCGTGTTGCTTTCTAACATAGCGGAGTAGAGATGGGTGTCAATAAAAACACTTTCAACTTTTACACGCGACTTCTTGTTTTATTGCTCGCCTGGATTTGTTCATGCAAAATATTAAAAATGGTCCTGTTTTATCAGTCCGGTCCAGCTCATGTTAGGTTTGGCAGTGTTTGTAATGAATCCATGATATATCAGTGCACAATATGTTTGTATTTTATTTACATGTTGTATTTGAGGACATGAACACATTTTATAAAAATGCTGGTGAATAACTGCAATGTATCTGAGCAATGATCCAAAATATATCATGTGTACACATGAAGTTGTGTGGCTTTCTCCAGAATTACTGTTCAGTTAATCAAGAACAATCATCATTTGAATTACAATAGAGCTGATAAATAGAAAGAAAAGTATTTATTTTAAAACCACAATAATAGTGCTAATCATTTTTATGAACTATATTTGTATTTATCTTGAGTTGTTCAGTGAGAGCGATCAGTTCCTCAGATCAGTGTGTAATGAGTTCATGCTGCTTCTCACAGATATGCATACACAGCTCATATTCATACAACAATAAAAAGGTATGAAAACTTTAGAATTCACAATTCTGAATATATTTCATGATTGTGACTTTATTTCTCATAAATTTCAATATCTTACAATGTGTTTTTTTTTGTAACTTTAACCTTATTTCTCATAATTACAACTTACAATCTTACAACGCGACTATTGTATTTCTCAGTGATTTAATTGCAACTTTGTCATAATTTGACTTTATTTCTCATAACTACGATCTTATTTCTCTTGATTAGGTCTTTATATCTCTCAATGTGAATTGTAAAAATTGCAGCTTTATTTGTCCGTATTGCAACTTTACATCTCACAATACGACTGAAGTCACCATATATCTCAGCTTATTTTCATAATTACAACCTTATTTCTCATAATTGTGACTTTATATCTTACAATGTGACTTTTCTCATGACCTCGACAACAATGCCACTATCTCTCATTTCTGAGACTTTATCTCACAAAGTGAGTTTTTTTTTTTCACAATTGCAACCTTATTTCTGGTAACTGACTTTATTTCTTGTAGTTGCAACTATATTGTACAATGCAACATTATTTTGTAGTCATTTCAACCCTCTCTCGCACTGTGACTTTTTCATGAAATTGTAACTTTATTGACTTTATTTCTTGTAGTTGCAACTATATTGTACAATGCAACATTATTTTGTAG